TGTGGGTTGGGTGGTGGGTTCAAATGTAGGAACAAGATTATGAATGGCCATTTGAGGAAGGAATTTACTGGAAAGCCCAAATGTTGGCTTGGTTGGCAAAGATATGAGTTTTGAGAGATATGGCTTATGGCAGGGTGATGAGGTTGATAAATAGGATAAGGATTGTACGGGATAAAGCTATTAGATAGATGCCCCTCCATTGTGACTGCTTGCACCTTTCTTTTATTCTGTTCTAATGTACTTTCCTCTTCAACATCTGTCATATCTTTTAACTTAATCCTACCACTTTTGATTGCATTTTCTATAATTTCACCAAAAATCACCATGTTCAAAAAGTTTTCCAATCATTCTTTCATAATAGGGAGTGTTCAAGGAATTGACAAATAGAACAGTAATTTTTTTCTCAGCCAAGGGTGGTTGTACTTGGGCTGCTATGTTTCTCCATCTATGTGCATATTCTCTAAAAGTTTCAGTTGATCTTTTCTTCATGTTCTGCAAGGATAACCTATCTGGCATCATATTTTCAACATGCTTGTATTATGCTAGGAAGGCCCTAGCCAAGTCATTCCAAGAGCAAATCTTATTTTGGTCTAGCTAAGCATACCATCTTACTACAGGCCCAGTGAGACTATCTTGAAAGCAATGGATCAATAATTTATCATCATAAGTGTAACCTGTCATTTTTCGATAGTACATGGTGATGTGTATTAAATGGCATTTCGTTCCATCATACTGCTTGAAATTTTAGGCTTTGAATTTTGATGGAATAACTAGATCAGGCACTAGACTAAGCTCGTTGGCATCAACATTCCAGTACACATCATGGCTTTCAATTGCTTTCAATCTCTCTTATAGCAGATTAAATTTATCTTTCATCACTGTATCTCTTGATAGATCTGGCACCCTTTTTAATTTTTTTGATTCTTTAGGATCATCCATATTAGACACAGCAGTTGAGTCGTTAAAAGTGCACTCGAGATTGATATTTGTTTGAATTGATGGCAACTCGACAGAAGGGCCAATATAAGGTTGATGAGTTGTTGGAGCTGCTTGCGACATATGGGGATCTTGAATATATGTGAACCTAAATGGATACACTGGTGTCTCAACAACTATTTCCTCCCTTGCCCTGTGTGTTTCAAGAACTCTTTTTCCTTTTGTCAACTCTGCTAACATTTGTTTTAATTCTACCAACTATCTGTTCACATTCTACTACATTCCCATAACTATTTCGTTGATCTCTTCTTGGGCCTGTTCTACTCTGTCCATTCGACTTGCATCTTTTTTTTTCATGATTTTGGTACTGACTCGAGTGCTATAAGTGTACAAACTCAATTGACCTCGTTTTTTAGGATAGCTATCCTTTAACCTTTTATTAATTATCAAAAGTCAGAAATGCATAACATGAATTTTATTATAAAAAATCTTTTGGCTTCGAGAGTTTAACAAAATCATATTCACAATCATCATCTTTTGTGTTTAGCTAGCATGAAGAATAATGAATTCAAACAGATGATGCATGATGTGCAAGTTAAAATTTTTATTATTAAAGAGAGGAAATTGGAGTTCCATCTTATATTCTGGCTGAATTATCTAAAGACATTCATTCCTTCTTAAAAGTTTGATGAAGGTATATTCACAACATGGCTTTTTTACAGGCTCCTTTAGAAATCATCATCGTCCGTTACCTTTATTCTGAAGTATGGGTGAACCCGTAACCCTTGCACTTCTGCATTATCACCAATGTCATTCAACAATTGGCGAATATGTTTCTGCCACGATAATGGTCGATTTAAGGAATGATTAGCGTTTGTCAGTCTATGAGTAAAATTCACGGGTACTTCCCAATTTTTATAAATATATCATTTTCATTCGTGACATAAAAGATATATATATTTAAAAATTCACTATCCATCGTTTCGTCAATTAACAAGTAGAAAATTAAAAAAATGTTAATGCAAACATTGTGATATAAATACAAACACGCGACAGGATCTACACGTGGGCCACATGCATGTTTTAGATTTATTAAGTGAGATTTATCTCACTGACACCCACTTCACAAGTCATTGAAACATGTCATATATATGCACCGAATAAAGATTTAGATAAAATTTTGTACTTGAAATTTACGAAATTTTTAATTAAAATAGATTAAATAAAATTAATAAATTAAAATGTTTTGTTAATTTGATTAAATATGTAAAATTTGAAAAAATTTGAATAAATTTTGATATATACTTTTAAATGGATATTTTTAATAAAAATATTAAAATTGTTGAATAAGTATTGATCAATTTAAATTATAAGTAATATTTTAAATAATTTTTTTATATATTATTAATCTTTATATTAAACTCTATTAATTTATCGATTTGAATTTTTTATTAAATTATTTTTTAAAAAATCTTTACAAACTTCACATAAACAATTTTATAAAGTTTTCTCCATCCTGTGGGTAGACAAGTGATACTTGTATGCATAGTCTGATTGATTGTTAAACAACAAAAAGATAAACCATGAACTTTTCTAAAAAATTATTCAAGAAAAATCATTTTTTTGTCATGTATAAAAGTGATACATCTATATATATATATATATATATATATATATAATAGAAGTTCATGAATGACTAGTGAATTTTACTTATCCATATATATTGGTGATGGAGTTTTTAAACTAGATAAACAAAGTTAAAAACCTTTCTTATAACATTTTCTCATTTTTAAACTTTATTTCTATGCAATCTTTTCATTAAATATTTACATTTCATTACGTGCTAGTATAATATTTGTCTCTAATGTGACATCCCAATAATTAAAATTTAAAAATTCATTTTAAAAGTTTCAAATTAAGATTTTGAGATGAGCAGAATGAGATTTATGATGTGAGAGAGTCACATTTCATTAAAATAATAATAGTTCGGATCGAATTTAATTTAATTTTTTCGAATAATGTATAATATTATAAATTTTTAAAGTTTGATTTAAATTCTAATCGATTTTTCTTCAAAATCAATTCCAACTAAATCAAACATTACAGCTTTTTTGCAATGATTTGTTTTGTATTTCATATCCTAATTTTAATTATTTATTATTATTTAAATTATTTATTTATTACAATGGTTGAATTGATAAATATTGTCTTTAATTCTTCTGCCTATGAAAATAAAATAAATAAATAAAAAATAAAGAAAAATTATTACTATATTTTAAATTAATATATTTTTCTCTCATTTTGTTTTGCATTAATTTCTTCTTTATATTTCATTTCCTAATTTTGAGCATTTATTATTTAAATTACTTATTTATTATTTTTTTACTATGGTATTTATTGTTATGGTTGAATTGATTCTAAAAAAATTATTGAAATAATAAATTTATATTCTTTCTTCTGTACAAGAAAATTAAACTAAATGAAAAGAAAATCTAGAAAAGTTAGATTAGCCTAATTTAATTTTCGTCAATTTTTTGTAATTTTTATGAAACTGTTTATCTCTAAAAAGATTAAAAAAAAAGAGAAAATATAAAATGAAAATATTTACAAAAAATAGATAAATGAAAAAAAAAATGAAATTGAAATTGAAAAAAATCTCACGGGATCCTTTCAATATATTGTATAGATTAGTAAAGGAAACAATAAATTATGAATTTATTTGAGGAGACACATGCATGTTATTGTTAATTATAGAAAATTTTCCTATCAGTATTTAAAAACTTTACTTATGGCAGTCCACTTTAAAGACTAATAAAATGTAAAATTATGTACTAATAAAATACTCATCTAATCTCAATTTTTTATCCATCTTTTCTTTTTAAATACCCAAAAAAGCCAAAATCATTTTTTTAACATATAAAGACTTGAAAATTTTTTTTATAGAATAAATAGTTCTCCTTATATTTAAAATTCGATTCCAATATTTTCAAAAGTCACTTTTCAATCATGATATTTGTAAAGCTAACGCTTTGATCCTTTTATGAGTCTTAAATCATTTTAGACGTTAGATATCTACTGGCATCATGTGTCTTTACACTTGACATCAGTTGGTGTGTACGAAATTGATGACTTGAATTTTTTTAGAAAAGAAAAGGAAAATATTAAATACGTCAAAATCAATAATTTTTTTTTGAAATTGAAAAAAAAAAAAAACTTAACAATTTGAAAAGAAGAGAATATTAAAAATTAAGCAGGGTAAAGCTTTATACCTTCTTTCGTGTCATTTGGCCGGCAAATTGCCAGGACTTCCATCCTCTTACTTGAAGTTCACGATCTAGAAGAAAATACCTAACAGAAAACCAGCCACGGAGCTGAGGAGCAGGCCCCGCGTAGTAGATATGGATAGGCGTGTACCCATTAGCATCCTTTTCATGAAAAAGATTTCTATTTGTCAAATCATTAATCTTGCAATCAACTAAGAATCTCTTAAGGTTTTTGGGAGATACTGCAACGACAGCAAAGTGAAGAAAATTCCAGCCTCTGTTGTCCACCATTCCGCAGCAACCTGGACAATGGGAGATAATTTCTTCCATTATCTCTGGCTCGCCTTGCCAAGCTGCCATATGAAGAGCCTACATCCCTCTCTCTTTATCACTTATATAAGCAGCAGATGCATCGTTTTCCAACAAAATTTTGGCAATTGAACGTCTACCGAAATGCGCAGCATAGTGGAGTGGAGTCCGCCCATTGTCATCGGTTTGTTTGGTTAGTTGCATTTTTGCCTCTATTAGTTTCCTTACTGTCTGTCATTACCAAAACACAACAAAAAGATCAAAAAGTTCAACAACAGCAGTACATGTGAATTTATTTAATTTTGAAAAATGAATGACAAGACCATGCATTTGTTTGGTTTTATTTTCCTTGTTTGGCCAGGGGAAGAAACAGAACATGCATTATTTAGAATGATGAGGAAGATTATCCCATTGACGGAAAAAGCAACGAGAACAGCCATTGAGTTGATTATCCCAAAACAACAACAACAATAACACAAAATAATGAGCTGATCACTTACTTTCATCTCCGGCCCGGACTGCTGCATGCAAAGCTGTTTTACCATTGGGGCCGCCATAAACCGTTGATTTGCAATTATTTAATATCTCAGCAACCAAATCGTGATATCCTCCCTTGGCAGCTAAGTAGAGTGGAGTCTCACCGCTTGTATTAGCGGACAATGCAAAATCAGGATCTACTTCTTTGACCAATAGTCGCAACACATCAAGGTGACCATATCGAGCGGCCTCATGGAAAGCAGTATTTTCTTCCTTATCCCTCATTCTCACCATCTGCCTCGTCCTGCTTGCTTCCAACCCTCTCTCCGGGTCTTCATGTTGCCCTACATTGGCGCGTTCAATAAGGAGTTTGACTATGTCAGAATGCCCATGTCTTGCTGCAATGTGCAATGGGATTTCCCTGTTGGCATTAGGTTGCAGTAGCAGTGATGGGCACTTGTCGACAAGTTGCTCCACAAAGTTAATATTGAACTCTGTTTTAAATACCCTTTTCTGAAAACACAGAAACGTTTTAACATTTTTTACTACCTTTCGTCCTCCAGTTCTGGAGTGAATATGAAGCACTGTGTTTTGGCTTCCGTCAACCAGGCAATGAAGACCACCTTGGTACTTATTAAATAGTTCCACGTCACCATCCGCCGCAGCTTTGAACAAATCACGGTCCATGTAGGTGATAGCCTCCACTTGCACAGGCCGTTCAGAGGAAATGGATGAGCTAATTGAGGGATTCAACTGCATCATTATAATTAATTTGGCTAATATTTAAGGCTCTCTTATTTGATCTAATTAAGCCAAGGCAGGTAGTCACAGTAGTTTCCTGAACCAAATCTTGGACTCCTCTTGCCTTTTTATATATCTTCATCATTCTTTGCTCTCATTCCTTTTCTTGTGCTTTAGTTATTACTTTAATTTTTATTCGGTCAATAAACTTCAATATTACAAAAACCAATACCTTTGCATTTATTGGTTAATACGTACCCAATCATTTTTTCTTTAGTTAAATACTTTATTCTGATCATCTTTATTTCATGAATTACCTTGACGATTAGGTTATATCATATACTCTCTAGCTTTTATAGTTTTCCTTAGACCATGTGAATCACGTTGAAAAAATAGTATTTGTTTTTAAAGTGTAATAATTTTATTTACCAAAAAATTCAGAGTTAAACTCAGATAATTTGTATAATCATTTATAAAAAATAGCATTTAGTAAATTTGGGTTTCATATTACACTTGTAACCCCTTCCCTTACCCAATATTACTTATCAAATATGTTTTATATTTTCAAAATTCAACAAAACAAAATAAATAAAAACAGAATTTTTGAAAAAAAAAACAAAAAACAATTTTAAGCGGTCCAAAAATTTGCCAATTATACAAGATTTTCCTTGACTATAAATGTTATTTTTGGTAATACTATATTAACTATTTTTTCTTGTCAAGTAGCTAGCTAGGTAGCATAGCATGCATTCAATTGGCCATGGTTTTCAAAGCTCAATTTGTTATTTTACTTTATTTATAAATATATATTTATTTATTTGATGATGTTGTGCATCTATATAAATAAATTGCCATCGATTACTCTATGATAAAGCTGGTTATGGGCCGGGTTGGACTGAGTTTGGGCTGGGCTTATGTATGTATTTTAGCATTTTAAGTAAGTTTAGGTTCGGCTTGACCTGATTTTTTGGACCTCATTTTCTATCCAATTCCATTCCTACTTGTAATAATAAAGCTCAAATCTGCCCAAAGCACTCATATTTAAAATTTAAAAAATATTTTTTAATTTTTTTTGTAAATTATTAATTTAACTAATTTAATTAATTTAATCGAATTTATGAGTCATTTAGGCTTAGATCTAATTTAGTTTTGTTAAATGCAATTTAAAATTAAGTCATTATTTTAATGTTTTGCATAAAGAAAAAATTAGGCTTTAGTCTATTATAAGTAATAAAGTAAATAGGCCTTATTTATTAGAAAAATAAAGCAAATTAACCTTATCTTATTATAATAAAAATATATATTTTTTAATTATTGGGTCGAACTTGGCTAGATTCGAGCCTTAAATGGTAAAATCCAAGCTCAATCCTTTTTTTTATCTGACCTCATTTATTTGTCCAAATCCTTTTAATAGGCTTAATATTCATATTCAAGCCCTTTAAAATTTTGGATGACCTTTCGGCTTCAAGCAAGCAGCTTGGCTTTTGAACAGGTCTACTCTGTGGACACTACAAAAGCAAAATTTAGACCTGTTCCTATTGCATGAAGTGAGATTCTAAGATTGATATATTTCATCTATCATCTATATATAAAAGTATGAACTCCAACAATGCTAAAAGTGATTAATTTAAATACTCCTATAAATGTTTAAATTAACAAATTTATCTTTAAATATCTAACTTTTGTTAATTTGTTTAAATTTAATTTAAATCAATTAAAATTAAAAATAGAGTTTATGTGAAAATAAATTTTTTAAATTTTTAAAATTTTAATTTCAAAAATATTAAAAGTGATTGACTCAAAATACCCTTAGTAATTTCTTTTATAAATTTAATTTAAATGAATATTTTATTATTAGACTTATTTTTATAATTAAACTCAAAATGTGCTAAAAGTGATTAACTAAAATACCCTTAATAAAATTTAATTCTAAAAGTCTTAAAAGTGATTGATTAAAACACCATTACTTTTTTTTTAATAAATTTTAATATAAATGAATTTCTTTTTTAATATTAAATTTTTTTTTACAATTAGACTCATATTAAAAAACAAAATATGATTTTTATATCAAATAAAAATATAAATATAAGGAGATCAAAACTTATTAGTGTGCATTGCAGTAATTTAGGGAGTTTGTTTCTTTATTTTTGTAAAAACAATTGGGCATGTAGTTTATGTTAATAAATAAATTTATTAAAGATAATCATAATTAAGTCATTAAATTAATATTTTCTATTTTTGACCTTTCAATTTTTTGCTTAATTGATTTGCTAACTATATATATGTTAATGATTTTATTATTTGTATATTTTATGACTTGAACATTGATAACATAATTAAATATTTTTAATCCATTGATATATATCATTTTTATTGTTTAGTCTGATCTCTATAATTAATTTCTCTTTTGTATTTTTTCTTTAGAATTTTATAATTGTTATTTCTAAGAACAAAAACTAATATCAAATCAAATGCAAATTAATTGCACACCCTCCTTCCACCAACAATTTGCAATACATGATTCACTGAATAGTTCAATTTGACTTCCCACTTGTAGAATTAGGAATTCAAGAGTTGATGGAGCTATTAGTAGCTAAGACTCAAATTACCATAAGAGTTGTTCATCTTAACTAATTTTAAGGCTATTTTGTTTGATCTAGTTAAGCCAAGGTAGGTAGGTGTAGTATTTTCTTGAACCAAATCATTGACTCCTTTTTAGGGGTGTAATTGAGCCGAGCCAATACAGTGTCAAGCTCGAGCTCAATTCAAATATTAAAACTCAAAGATCAGCTCAAGTTAGATTGAGTTCTATTTTTCAAGCTTGAGTTTGACTTGAGATAAAACTCAAACTAAACTCAACCTCGCTCGATTAAGCTTAAATAATAATTAAAAAAATTTCAAATTTGTTTAATATAAGCATAAGAGTGCTTACATCTTACCAAGAAATTGCCCCATTCGAACTTTCATTCACCTGTATTTGTAAAATTACTTCATCATTTGGAACTACCTCTTGAAAAACTAGTGCTCTATCTACGCTATTCACATATTCCTCCTTTACAAAATTACTCATCTACAAAACCAAAAAATCTATTAATTTATTGTATCATTTTCAAAAGCATAAATTAAATTCAATAAATCACCCCTAAATTCCCAACTTGAATAACATGATCTTATAATCACCACTATTAAATTAATGAACTTGACTCTCGATCATATATGCCCTGTTAACCCAAAATCAATCCAAATCTTAACATTTATTCAAAAAATAACCAAGATAAATAAGGGGTGTTGGAGAAAAAAAAAACCCAAATTTCAATATTTAATAAAAAAACCAAGACAAATGAGAGCATTGGAGAAAAAGCAATTTTCTATACTTAGAATATTCAACAGAAGAGCATTCATCATGAAGTTTGAAGTTTGGAGTTAGAGGTCCATCTTCATTATGGAGTTTTCAACTTTTTCAACTTGAGCATGAATCTCGTGATGTTATTTTCCACTAAGCAGTTTTAGCCCTTTCGACTATTAGTCATCAGTGGAAAAACAAAGACAGTGGCGGATCTTAATATATAATTTTGAGGGGGTCAACTAATATTATATAATATACTTTATTTTATTTTTCTTCCTAAAGTATAGTTTATAATACTTATAAATATATATGCAAATAATATACTAATAAAAACATGATAAGCTCATAAAATTATAAAACAAAAATATTACCATGACAACATTATACTTTTAACAATAATATGATTTACAATTAACCTTTTGAATTACTAATTACACAATATATCAATGAATTATGGGAATCTTTTTTGATAATTTAAAATTGAAATAAAAAAAAAGTATGAATAAATCAACCATATTTAAACATTTTATCAAAACAAAAAACTAAATATTTTCTTTTAAATGAAGATGAAATTTTGAGACTAGGAGTTTGGTGCTTTTCTATCATTTTTGTAAATTAGTTCTAGTATATATATATATATATATATATTGCTCTAAAAGAAATTACAACATGTGATAGAGATTAAAGTAAAAGTAAAAGAATATATATATTTATATATATGAAGAGAAGGAGATGTAGTTAGCTAAATCTCCTTTTCCTTTCCTTAAATCTGCCTAACTTTGACTTTGTACTAAAAAAAAAGAGGAAAAACACATTTGGTATTTGGTTGAAAACTTAAATCTTGTTGAGATTGAAAAATTACTTTAACTTGTGTAAAATTCATTTTGATTGTAATTTAAAAATTATGACAAATCTCTTAATTTTAAGAATTTACAAGTAATAATTGTTGGCTATAATAAATAAACAAATATCAATGTGATTTGAACATCTTTTAAATTACAATGCACAAAATTAATTTAAAACACAAAATAAAAAAATTAACACTTTTAGTTTATAGGATCAATTTAGATGTATTTAATATAAATAAATATACATGCTAATAAGGGTTTCAAAATTTTTGGAGGGGCCAAAGCCCTTTTAGGCCATTATTATCAACCACCCCTGAGGAAGGAGTGAGCACAAGTAGTGGCTTCGGATGAACAATCGCTGTCATCGGTGGTGGAGCAAAGGAACCAAGGAATGACTGCTGCTAGGTCTTGTCTTGCTATCTTGGGAGAGTGAGAGAGGGGAAGAGAAACATATGAGATTGATTTAGGAGTGTTTAGGTTAGGTTTAGGTGTATATGTCTAAAAGGGTGAAATCATAATTTCATAATTAAAATCATAAAAATATATTAAAATAAAAAAAAGTTCAATTAACCTCATGAGCCACTCAAGCTGAGTATTAAGATATTCGAACTCAGCTCTTTCGATAAGACGAATTTTTTGAGCTCGAGTTTGATTCAATAATGACTAAGCTAAATTCAATTTTTTTTTGAATCGAACCTAAGTAACTTATGAATAAATGTGTTTTTCTGGAATCATTTACACCTTGACTCCTCTTGCCTTTTTATAGATCTTCATTATTCTTTGCTCTCATTCTACTCATTGTGCCTTGATTATCACTTTAATCT